CAGGACATCACTGCAAACTTACCAAACAGAGCCCACTACATTGATGAAGTTAAGTCCAGCAGTGTTTGCCATGACCTGGGTGGCCGTGGTTCCTGTAGTTATAGATGTTACCATGGTGGAAAGAGGAATGGTCGTTACAGGCATTGCCTGGCTCAGAGACTTTTGCTGCTGAGCAAACTGAGTTAACAAAGTGGGCTGAGGGGTGAAGCCTGAATCTTGGGGAGTAGGGGTGGCTGAAGGGGTACTAGGAGTTGAACTCTGAGCATCAGGAGGGTGTGGGATCGATGAAGGGGTTGGTGTAGGAGTAGATGGCTTAGGAGTTCCAGATCCTGCTCATTGAGAAAAATAAAAATTGCTAGTTTGTTATAAATGGCCAGTCCTTTTTAAAATAAGGTTAATGGAATCTTACTTAGCACTGACAATTTGTTCCAGTTTTTTTTTTTTTTTTAAGCAGTTAACTGCAAGTGTTAATTTCTACACATGATACATGAGTGTTGCTACACTCAATTACAATTAAGGATGCAGTATATCACCTAAAAATCCCATCCGAGATGCTAATAGAGTAACAGTAAAAATATACATTTGTATTCTACCACAATACCCATTTAAAAGTTAGTTTCCCACATGCTGCCTTTGGCCTAAAAAGTTCAAAAGGAATTCAAATTAATTTTTGTTATTTATGATTTCACTAATTCAAGACTTCTTTAAAAAATACTGCTTATTTAGTGTAACAGTCTGAGATAAACATTTAATAAATTACATATAGTTAACAATCTTATTTGGCACCTAAATATATGTATTTAAGTCCTAACACATCAAGTTTATCCTGACAAACAAATTTACAAAAAACAGTAGCAAAGCAAATATTTGATAGATAATACTGCATCTTTAACAGTAACTGTGTACTTCTGTTTAAATGTAGAATGTTTAGAAAATCTGTTGTGAATGAAGTATGCACAGTTTATCAATTAAAAAAAAATGAAAACAAAAAACAAAAACCAAAAAGTAAAACCAAAAGCTCTTGAGGTGTTTTCTTTTTTAGCTTTCATGTCCTGCAGAAAGAAAGGAAAGAAATGTGAATGTCCAGAAGCTGTCACTCCACCCTTACTTAAAGTAACAACTGTGTGCAGTAGATTACCATAATCCATACCCACAACATAAGTAGTGTGAATAGACTTTCAGAAAATTTATATATTTTTCTTTGTGCAAAACAAGAAGGCAGAAAAATGACACCTTTTGAGCTATCAAGATGAAGATGTTTATATCTAATGCAAAGACCATCCTATCACTGTGCAGTGTACTAAAACTTTCAGCACGTGATTATCTATTAAAAAATCTAAAAAACTGGAATGCTTTTTTCCCAAATTGATACATGAAACACTCTTATTTATTAATTTGAAGAGATTCTCCAAAACTAATTCCTACATTCTTGTATAACTCTTCTTCATGTTAAAAAAAAAA